TCAACAGTAACAGAAGAAGAAAAAAAAGAAAACTTAATTATTACTCCAATTGTCAATTCGTCACTGCCAGTTTTTGAACCCCACACCGACTGCACCACTTGATTAGAGAATATATTTGTTTAAGGAAATTTCGTTTTATTGAGAAAAAAATTTGGTTTATTGTTCTAAACTGTGATGATGATGGATGTCGTCCTTTTATTCCTATTTGCATATAATCGTTGTACGATCTTTGCCCGCGCTATTTCTTGAACTGTCCGCTTTAAAGCTCACGGCAAACTATCAATCTTAAATTTGTCCTCGGAAGAGTTTTCTTCTCATAAAAAAAAACACTTTAAACTGTCATGTTGGTTGTACTTGATTTTACGTTATCCGAGTGGTCAAAGAGGCGCATAGAAAGTTCTCTACTACTACTGGCAGTGCGATTCAACAAGGAGAAAGACACACACATTTATCTCAAACTTCATATACTAAAAAGGGCACTATATCCTACACCTAGTTACAGATTTAGGCACGGTGACAATAACGAGAGCCCAGGCTTACTTGTCCGAAAGAAAATCCTATCCTATACCGGGCTGGCATGAGACAACAAAATGTTGACAATGTTACTAACAGACAAGGAATCAAATGTAATTAGATCGTGAGGACTGAACAAGGTGGCTACACGAGAACGCTATATTTTATCAACTTAACATGGGTACATCACCGCTTAAATGCCGCGAATCCATCTGATCTCTGCCTGTGAGACTGGTGATTTTCGGCTCTTGACGAAGCTCTTTGGGCGAGGGTTACTGGAGACGTCTCCTCGACGACAGCAGGCGGTCTTATAATACGGCTATAGTAGGCTGGACGCTCAATCGGGGTGTATTTTCTTCGCTGGAGTTCAGGCAACTTGCAGGCCACTCTAGTGAATCCAGACTCTATTCGCAGGTTGATTGACTTCAGGGATAGACTATCTTCGTCGATACGTGGTGTTCAAATAGTTGCAGGACTTTCAATCGGGGTGTATTCTCTTCGCTGGAGTTCAAGAAACTTGCAGGCCACTCTAGTGAATCCAGAATCTATTCGCAGGTTGATTGACTTCGGGAAGAAACTATCTTCGTCGATACGTGGTGTTCAAATAGTTGCAGGACACGGCGTGTTAAATGGTCTCTTCTGACAGTACTTCGAGGCTCACGATACTTGCGATAAACGGCGTGTTAAAATGTTCTCCCTGAACGGTACTCGAGGCTCACGATACTTGCGACCACTTGCGTCCACGATACGTCTGACTGCCTCGAACACCCGAACGTGACTACCCGCGGTCGGCCCGCGCTCTCCCTTAAATACTGCGCCGGTCTCGCGCAGCGCTCTAGCTAGGCGGTTCCGAGCTCCTCCCTCGAAATCTCGAGTTTATGTCTAACCTCAATCCCTAATTTTATGTAAAATTTATTCCTATTCCTATTCCTAATCAGGCGCGCCGCGGCGTTGAGCTTTCTTTCTTTCTAAGCTCTGCCATGTCCTGCTTGAAATTATGATTTCAAGGTAGTTTGCTGGTCAAAAAATATCCTCATAACGCAAGGGATACGAATGAAATTCAGTTTTCTTTGGCTGACCGTGACAGTGGAATATATTTATTCATAAGAAATTTTCTTATAGCGTCTGATAATTAGGTTGATTCTAGGTATATAATTCTGGTAAAGTTGACTTGGTATCATTCCTACGCAAAATTTTTTAGATGAGGGTAGGGAGAAAAAGTGACACGAAGTGGTGAATATATTTCAAGCCTAGCATTCCAAAATCATCGAGTGATATCAATTTATTTTACTAGAGAATATACTTGGCGAAAATGTTCCGAATCGTTCATCTCAAAAATAACTTCGATTCTTATCATGCATTTAACCGTAGCCGTTACTCTGAGCTGATCCGTGGTCCGTTACGGATAAACAAACATTTTTTCAGTGCCCGTTTACTGGAATTAAACAGCGTGTTCAAATAAACAGTGGTTCACGGAAACATCTAATCGTAACGGCAGTGTATTTACTTGTGTTACTTGAAGATAGTATTTGCTATACTTCAGTGAGTCTCTCAAAGCGACTAGCATGCTAAGACCTCTCCGATGGTTCAACGGTATACAGGCTTCACTTCGACCGCCGTGTTTGTTACCAGCAGTCCATTTAGTCCATGTCCCACGAATTATGTGTTACGGTACATTGATAATTTGTTCCTTCTACATTTAAACGAATGCAAAATTTTTGTTCAACTTCATTATAGAGATGGCCATCGATGGCTCATCGATGTGTCATCGGTGCCATGAGGTAGTTATTGGTAGAAGATTAATTTTTCGGTTGGGCGGCCATCGGCAGGTAATTGGTGGCTGCACACGACATCGATGCCGCATCGATGCGCCGTCATTGCTCCATCAATAATTTCCATCTATATGCACCAATAATTAAAATCGGTACTCCCCCTATAATTTTCACTTGGGTCTCGTTTATGAGTTTCTTTTTTTAAAATAATGAACATGAGCGATTACCCTGCATGAATCCACAAAGAAGTGTCTTACTATGCTCTTGTCTTACTATGCTCTTGGTTTCATTTAATGGGAATTGTTATGTGATCGCGGCTGCATCTAAAATTTGTATAACCTTCGCGTAACTTAAGGGATTTTAGAATTATATTGATATATTTCATTATAATTTTTTAATTTTATATCGAATTGTACCCATAATCAGGTGAAACGAGCGTTCGCCAAGCGAGAAGTTATACTATCAGCGGGCGCAGGTGATTCTCCCAAGCTGCTGATGCTGTCGGGGATTGGGCCTAAAAAACACCTAGAAAAACTGAGGGTGAGTAAAATCCGAAGGAACAGGCGATAACAAATTTTAGATTAGATGGATTTAGATGAATCTAAATTTATATCCACATTCGTTGTTTTGTACCACTTATTCTTAATTCACATATGAGAGCACTACCATACCACAATTCAATTCCTGGAATAAAACAGCGTGTTCCCGTGCTCCCATCATTCGCTCAGCTTTGTTTGTGAATGAGATGTAGTATATAATTCTAATGCAAGACAATAGTGCTAAGAAGAAGCAATGATGAGAACATGAAATCGCAAGTAAATAACAAAATACATCACAATAAATTAACTCTGGATAGAACTGAAAACAGCATATAACTATAAATAAGCATAGCAATAATAAAAACATTTGGCAGCAATCAATTTTAGGGCACTAAAATGGGAAAGGGTCTGATTGAAAGATCAATTTAGTTTTGTCTGTATCCGAGGATTTTGAAACACTATCGCACGCTTCATTGAACGTAATTTTCGAGACGACACATAAAATAGAGCGTCAGCAGGAGAAGACGTAGCTTACCATTGCTAAATTTGATTATTTTATTCAAGGGCAAGAAGTCGAAATAAAGAAGCAGGAGGAGTTTAAATTTTTTCATGTTTAAAATTAAATAAATATACGTATATATTTTACTAATCGGTTCAGATTGAAAGTCGAGTCGACCTGCCGGGAGTTGGACAAAATTACCAAGACCACTTATATGTCCGCGGAATAAGTTGGACCATTCATCCCAACATTTCGTCTTCCATTTTCGAACGGGTCGGGACGAGTGCCATTCTGAACTATTTCGAAAGGAGATCAGGTAATTAATCCACCTAAGGCTGTTCACAGAAGCTCCCTTACACGAGTCTCTTGTTATAATGGTTTATAATGATCCTAATTATACTTTTGATAACACGTAAATTCTTTTGCAGTTGACATCCCCTAGATTATGTTGTATAGTTGTATTTCTCTTGCGTAGAAAGACCCTTTTTTGAATCGGCTATCATTGCCAGTACCTACGATAAGTTCTAAGTACTCATTATGAATCTACATGAGTGCGAGGCGATAACATACTGGCAGAAAAAATCCGGTAAAAATTAAAGACGAAATATCACGTAGGCAGAACAGGATACACACACAATCATCAAATTATTTTGTAGATGAAAGCTTCGAAATGAGAAAGAAAACAAACGACGAACCCCAAATGAGTGAGAATGAAATCGACGGACTGAGACCCTAGGTTTCAGTCCGTCACCTCAAAGCAGTTTCAAACCCGGCTACTCTACAGCCCTACTCTCCTCCCAATCTCGCATCAAATCGCAACCGGTTTCTACTTTAGACGGTGTCCTTCCCGCAACGTGGCAGTCGCGATGGACCCGTAGAAAGCCTCCGACAGTGTCGACTACTCTTTTCTGTTATTCATGATTGCATAATCTACCCTACACCTCAACTTGATCCGTTGGCTATGTTTGTAAAGATCACTGTAGTTATTGTCTTATCAGAAGTTGACGATATACACAAAGCTTAGAGAGATGCTTAGTTGAAATACGGCAATCCAGTTTTATTGTTTCCGGTTACAGAGCGTGTGATGACTGAACAGGAGAAAATTTATCTAACCATGTTAACAAAAAGTGATCGATTTCTTTAGCGGATCAAATCAAGAAGTAAGGACGGTTGCTACATGTTCCTGCCTCTACCTGCAATCCCGGTCTCCTTTCAGGAGCATAAACAACAGAGCTCCTCAAGAGTCCATCATCTCCCCAGCTATCTTCAACCACTTCAAGCCCGGTCCCGACCTCAACCATCACCTCTTACGCAGATAACCTCACCATATTTATCACTTCACCCAGACTAGACACCTCGAAGGAGGACCTGACGGTGCTGCTGTCCGGCATCTCCGCCTGGTTCACCGTCTCCGCCTGGCGGTGGAAAAGACAAAAATCCTAGGAGTAACCTGGGATATCCCTTTACTAGGATACCAACTCACGTCAAGGAAATAGCCTCTAAAGCAGCCAGCACCTTACGCGTCCTGAATATCCTATAACTGGCACCTGCTGTGGTTTCTCGAAGGAAGTCAATACCTACAAATCCATCACACGACCAATCCTTAACTATGCTGCTTCAATTTTTTATCTTCTTGCCTTCCGATACGCTGTCGCGAGTCTACAGGTCGTGCAGAACTCTGCCTTTGAGGCTCGCTTACCGCTGCCGCAAGATGACTGCAATATACTACCTACAAACTGAAACAGATGTCCTTCCCTTGGCTAGTCACCTGAATTGCGCTTGCTCGCCGTTCATTGCTACCGCCTTCCATCCTTCAGACCGATTGTCTCCGCCTCTTCTGGTGAAAGACTCATGAAGGCTACAACGCTCCGATCATCTCGAGGCGCCCGTATTGACAGTTGGCTGCCCGCCAGCGGGCTTCTATGGGGAGGCCAGAGGCTATCCTTTGCCGAGTGATCCCCTCGCTAACTGCGATGACCGCGGGATGTAGCAGGGACCTGGCGCCCTATCTTCCCCAATTGCGTCCAAGGGAGCCATGCTCTCTCGCCCCCTACCGCTCTGAACTCGCTCAGCTATAGTCTAGTTTTTGCAGCCACCTTGCGTCCTACACATTCATGGTTGGGCTCTCTGCCAGACTCAGCTTCTCCTAAGTTTGTGGATCTCCTCCACTCCACTGAACACCTTTTTTCCTGCCCGTCCTTTCCCAAAGACCTCACCGTCTCTTCTCTATGGAACATCATTTGCAGGCTGCAGCTATTCTGGCCTCCCTCCCATCATTCGCTCACTTCCCTTCTCTCGCGGTGGCCTCTCCAAGTCAGCCTCCTTCCTCAGGGTGTATGAGTTACAGAAGCAATGAACATCACAAACACATTCGAGAACAAATGGCTAATTGGACCAACACCATCGAGTTCAAAATCATTCCCTTTATTATGCGAAAAACACCTGACAACTACATTGATAACACTCATTACCCATGCATAAACAAAAGCTTATAGTTTTATGATATAAGTTTCATGTTAAATGGTTTTATGATCAAGTGCTTTCAGATTCATGGCAACAGCATTATCCCCACAAATCTACTCATAAAACATATATTACATCCACTCCAACCAAACATAAAGCATATTTTATATCATGCAATTGTTGGATCCTCTTTCACATCTCTCAGTTACATCGAATACCGCCACAAACAATATCAAAAACACTACTTCCCGAATTATAAATGTCTAAAATGCAGCCCTGCGATTCATCAACTATCGACACTAGTCCGACTTGATGTATTCTCACAAATACTACAGGCACAATGCAACATTCCATTATATAAACACGGTCCTTCATCAAACCAACCATGGCACTGTCGAGTTATTAGCTCCACAATCCGACGTTATTCCAGCTCTTAAATAATACAAACGAACCTAATCATGCAGTTAAGGCCTTTTACCTTTCACATCTTCATTTCAATTTCTCCTTATCCTTTCTAGTTGCTCTGTTGCACTTCTGTTGTTTACTCATATTCCTTGTAACACTGCCACCATCAAGCTGGTCAAAACATTAAAATACTTGTTGGGATTTTTGTAGTTCATCTCCAGAATCAGTGAACGTGAAGTTTACTAAGTTATGTAAATTTCATCTTATCATAATTTTCCATCTTGGCATGGGTTATCATCGATCTAAGTATAAACCTGGAATTTCAAATGAGATTATGAACAGCTTTCAAATGATTGTTCCATACATGAACTAAATTACTGTCAACAGTGAATTTATTTTTGAAGTCTTCGGCATATTATTGAAGGTTCAGGTCAGTCAAAATCTCCGTTTTTTTTCAACGTTCTTAAATGGGCATTAAAGCTACTCCTGTTTCAAGCTAAGTTATGACTACAAAAAAAATGAATAACTTTTCGTGCAATTTTTGCCACCGATGGAACGTTTTCCGAACTCAAATTGTGATTTCTGCCTCCGGTCCAACTATTAACATCGCGGAAATTTTACACCATATCATCGAATCTCTTCATGATTAAATCGACAAATTTTACGACCCAACAGTAAATATCCGCCAAAAAATACGAAATTTTAGTTTTAACGTTAAACCTTATTTCATTAAAGTGACTTTCTTTGGCTGCAGGTCCGTTGACAACTGCAGTTGGAATTTGTGCTCTGTACCAATTAAATGTAGGCAGTCCTGAGGAACCCCATATTCCGGACATTCTGATAACCCAAGAAAATGGACTGCTGGGTCAAGACTATGGTCTCCCCTTTCTTTCATATTACAAGCAATCGGTAGGTTTTATAATCATTTCCCATGTTTTTGTTATAAATCTTTTTATTGGTTTAATCTGAAAAATAAAATATAATGGAATATAGTATATTGCATTCACCATAATAACATTAGCGAACGTTGGCTCTTCAGAATGTAAGAATTTATCGCATGTGTTTCCCACTTTTTATCAATTCTGTTTATGAATGACACTAAAGTTATGATCACCACACGTTGTTAGACTAACATGATTGATCGAATCTGCATTTTTCTTCACTTATCTGTACTATTTCTTAACTTATTTAAATTTATTGTGGTTAATACATTGCGTTGTGGCCGCAAAAACCCAGATTCGCATTTTGTTTCAGGCACCAATTTACGGGAAGGGACCCGAAAAAAAAATTGTTAAAATAAAAAATAGCAATTCTTTAAAAATTTATTGATTTATCAAAAAACCTTCATTTAGAATTTGATGGAGTGAAGTTCGTCACTTGGGACAGTTCCGCAAGTTTGTCAATACTTGTATGTTGATCTTCAGGAATTAGGTCCCTAATTTTCTCAACATTATCGTCACTGTGGTAAGTGGAAGGACAACCTGAACGAGGTTGGTTGTCATTTGACAATTCCCCTTCTTTGAAGCATGAAAACCATTATGAAACTTGCGTTCTCCATACGCTCTTCGTAGGCTTTCTGTGGCATTCCCTTCTGTTTTCCACATGAAAAAAAAAAATATTTGTCAGCATGTTGCTCACAAAAATCAGGCATCATGAAAAATGGACGAGCGCTCAAAAGAAGTGCCATAAAAAAGCGCGAATGTGAAGCACAGCACCAATGCGTTGCACACTAACTGGTGAATGTCGGTGAAATATTCACGTAGTGGGAGACTTTGGTAATACCGAAACTTCGCCCACTTCGCCCAGGCAGTCCGTGTCGTGGCGCACAAACTACTGCAATTTATATGCTTTATAATTTATACGCTTCGACCACTCCACATAAGCCTTTTATGATCGTATATTTTGGTAGTACTTGTGGATAAATTAAAACACCGGAGAAAAACTACCGTAAACTCAGACATTCATACTAAAGGGCAGAGGTGGGCAGTAGCACGCTACCTGTAGCGGCCGCTACATTTTCAGTAGCGGTAGCGGCGCTACATTTAAGCAATTGTAGAGGTAGCGCCCGCTACATATTTAAGTAGCGATACGAGGTTTTGCCGCTACAGCGCTATCGCTACATTTATAGATAAAGCCTTTAGATTTTACTTAATAGTATTAAATATTATTTAAAAACCAGCATGATACATACATAACATAAATTACAGAATAAAACTGTACGATTTCCGTGTAATATTGTCAACCTCAGCCTGTTACTACTGTCAACATGTTAGTTGTTACTGTTAAGTTGTTACCAGTTACCACTTATAGGTATTTTTTCATGTTTCAGTTTGCTTAGTTATTTTTATGTTTCACCTTCCCTACATGGTTGTCTACTTTAATCTACCAATCTCAAAAATAATCCACGTATACATATCTACACAAATAAAAGACTGCTTTTTTATATGTATATGTGGATTATTTTTGAGTTTGGTAGATTAAAGTAGACATCCATGTAGGGAAGGTAAAATATGAATATAACTGTAATTTTTATTTACTGTATCTAACCCGTACTAGTTCAGTTAGGTTAACTGCAATAAAGTTGCATTGATATGTTTTGAAAATGTTTTATTATCTTTAAATGTTTATGAGTAAATCCCAATAGCAGAACAATAAATATTTAGAGATTTTCAATAATTTTGGCCGTTGTAGCGGCTAATGTAGCGGCGCTACATTTTACTGTAGCGGTAGCAGTAGCGCTCGCTACAATCTAGTGGGTGTAGCGGTAGCGGTAGCAACCGCGAAATTTAGAGCATGTAGCGGTAGCGGTAGCGGCCGCTACATTTCAAAGTAGCGCTGCCCAGCTCTGCTAAAGGGTCGATTGCCGAAGACCACTACTGCCTCTGGGGCCATACTTTCAAAACTCGCTAAGTGAACGTAAGTACTTACGCTCTATTTTCTTGTCTATGATTGGTGTATTTTGCTTGAAAGGCCGTCAGTGATTGGCTGTTGAACTTACGATCTCCTAACTTCTTTGAAAGTATACGCCCTGGATGTAATGGACCATCATGATTTCTGCCTTCTGGAACGTAGCCTTCAACACTTCTGGACAATTTTATCTAGGCCGTGCGTCGAACCAGCCCTCGGTCGAACGGCCACTCGTCGAAGGACGATGAATTTTGTAACTAAACAACTATGCTATCTGCAACCTAACCTCAGATACAATGAACGTAAATTACGTAATTTAACGATTTCAGGATGTCATATTCGATATGCGGTCTGGTGGTGCACGGCAGGTTTTATGCATGGCCGGAGGCTGATTGGTGGATCACGGCTGATTGGTGGATGTCCGGAGAGATCCAAGGCGTTCGATTCTGGGCTTATTGGTGGTGCACGGCTGCGCTCCCATACTAAATATGACAGCGTACATTAGACAACCGATCGAAATTCCCACCTTACGATACGTGTTTTAGCAAGAACCATTTGCTTAGTTTACTAGAGGCACGAAAATTAATTCACAGACAAAAAATTCAAATAACTAGAGAAAAATTAAGAGCTAATTGCTAAATAAAATTACAGAAAAGTTAAGACAAATACAGATTCAATTAAATATATAATTCTAACAAGTTTTGTCGTTCATAACACTGTATTTTATAAGCACAATACATTCATAATTGTATTTACAGATACATGATTACTATCGACCGATCAGCGGGAGAGATGGTTTCTCTATGAGCCCGTTGCTGTCCAGACCCAAGAGCGTCGGGACGGTAACCCTCATGTCAAAGAACCCTTTCGACCCGCCCGTCCTGGACCACAATTCACTAAGTCACCCCGACGACGTCGAGCTCATGGTCAAAGGTACGTGTGAGCAAGAAAATGTAACTACGTCGATAGTTTTCGTAATCTCGAAATTTCGTAGATCCACAGTGTTTTACAAATGATATTTTTATGTTATTTAATATAACGCTTTCGTCCGTTTTCCATTTTTTCTGCATGAAGCCACTTTTCGTTTTAATCCAAAGCAGATACGTTTAGATATTAACAATAAACAATGCAAAATGGAATGCAACAAGTTTAACTGATTTATTCACTTATGAATGTTCCAAGTCACTGATTTAACTATTTTTACTAGATTTTCTTCTTGTCTTAATTAAATCCTTGACTGATGGGACATAAACTTTCATAAATTTCAATCACATCTGAAGGTCTGATGACTCGAGTTTAGTTACTGTTATTTACAGCGCTCCGAAGTCTAGGTACGATTGAATGTAATCTATTAATTCACTAAAGCGCGCTTGGGTAGTTTCGCAAGTTTCAAAAATAAGTCACATTTGAGAGTTACAAATATGTAACGTAACCTTCGCTTATAGAGGATGTATCATGGGAAACGTATAAGGGCTTTCGTTTAATTTTGCATTATAAAATATGGTAAATGTGTTACGATAAAAGAGAAAAATAACGTCCGAAGACTGCTTTAAACTTTGAGTAAATTCTGGTTATTTTTTGGTCATTGTGCTTATTGGATGCTATTAATCGCTCCTTCTTGATAATAGACATGAACGAAAATTGTATCCAATTCAACTATTCTTCGCACTCCCATCTTTTCTCGACTCCCTATAAGTGATGAGTGAAAAACAATGTTAAGGTCCACTCAATAAATAAGCAGACAAATCTTGGTTTCCCCAAACTTTTAATAAATAACTGTGATGATAAACAAATCACGGATGCAAGAATACAAATGAATAAACCGTGTATTTCTCTAGCACTTCTAACTCCGGCCTCACGTTTTAGAGCCTTTCTCTGTGGTGGGATTCCCGTACAATGACGAAATACAAAGCGCATCTAAACGAGTTCACGCCAAAGGTGAATCAAGACGCTAAACGATAAATTTTTAGAGTCCTATTGCAATCCCTTACAACAATATATTGGCCCGCTCAAACTTTTTCAAGATGGCGAAAACCGATGAGCTTAAGTAAGAAAATAGCTTTCTGCACCACAAATTAGAAAGTTCTTTCAAGCGCCGACAATTAGCAATAAAACACGTGATAAAAAGACCTAAATATCTGTCCCACATTGGAAATATGGACGAAGCCCAGGCACTACGTAAATATCAGTATAATAACATTTACCTAAAAAAGTATTTTTTGAACACCATCAGTCAGCTAACATGAATTCATCGTATCACAGCTTAGTCAGTTAAACAGAAATAATCGATGGAGGACTGAACTGTTGTGTGACATTTCATTTGAGATTCAAGTTTCTGCGCGCAAAATTATAACTGATCAGGAAAAATATTGCTTATTGTCATTTGAAGCTCATTTGTGCCTTATGTTTTTATTACACATTAAAATTGATTAAATTCATGTTTATGAGAGTCAAATTATTTTTTGCAGCTGCCAAGGTTTCTCGAAGGCTAGGAAATGCCAAGATCTTCCGGCAAGCTCTTGGCGCTGAACCCATTACAAAGGTGAGCTTTCATATTCATGACAAGCGCGATGTAGAAACATCTCTAGAGTGCTAAAAAACCAATGCATGATTTGGAAGTCATTTCCAAAGATAACGGAAATTCTTCTAACTGTCGGGAGCTTCAGTGGGCATAAAAAAATCTGATTTTCTTTCCGCTAGCAAGACCCAGGAGTATCGAAAAATATCACATATCAACAGAATATCGTGATTTCATGCTTTTCAATGCCATATTAAAGAATTCGTGTTTATATATCGTTGAGAGATCAAAAAACTGCTTGAAGAAAAAGAAAAAATTGTCTCAGGATAATTATTCAAGGTATTAAAAGATGCTATACCTCTGTGACTAGAGCAAGTAAAAAGAAAATAAAATATCACATAGCCCACTTGAAAGTTATGAAAAACTTTTAATACCCTGAATAATTATCCTGAGACATTTTTTCTTCAAGTATTTCAGGACTTTTTTGCATTTTTTCTTCGAGCAGTTTTATGATCTCTAAACGAAATATGAATACGAATTCTTTAATCTGCCATTCACCTCGACTACAGCATAAGTGCTCTGGTTGATTGTTCAGCCGATTCCTGACTGCGCGCATTTCGCGTTCGAATCGGACGACTACTGGCGCTGCTTCGTGCGTGGCTGGAGCCGCATTGGGATGCACATGTGCGGCACCTGCAAGATGGCTCCAGACTCCGACCCCATGGGGGTGGTGACGCCCAGACTGAAGTTGGTTTGATTTTACTATTATGTTGTTAGGGTACGCTGAATAGTACATTTGCACAGTAATGAACAGTAGATCTTGTAGAATCAACATTATTCTCCAATTGTTTGTATAAAAGACCGCAAACCTTCATTCAAGTAAGTAAGAAAATTTAAGGTATTATTATCATCATTTTCATTATTATAATTACTGGTTTGTAGAATTCCTACCTTCTAACTCAGCCTCTACATGCTGAAATATCAGACTAACGCAGGTGCTGCGTCCTCATAGTAACCGAAAACACGGAAATGTCTTGGTGTCATTTATGGCTGAGTAGAGCTCTATTCTCCTTCTGAGAACACGATCAAAAATCTCGCGTCGTTGACACATTGAACGTGACGCTTAATTAACAACGAGGGTTGTGCGTGCACTGCATCGACGCACATAAATAAAACGTAGCTAATCCAACATACGTAATTCACCTTAGAAGGTAGGCAAAGGTGTTCAAAGCATACGTAGTTGTGGGTCCACAAGGGCTCAGGCAGAAAGCAGGTCGATGTTATCTGTCAAGAAATTCCATATTTAATCACGGATGAGCACAAAAATAGGCATCTTCTACCAATCGAGACTATGCAAACGCAAGCCTTTGTTCGTCAAAAGCGTAGTGGGAATTATCTACGGCTGGATTGACTACGGAGTTAGAATCCAGTGATATTGACTGAGCGAACCCGGGCACAACAGGGAGATTCTGGCTCAGCTCAGCCTCAGTTCTGTGGTTAAATGTAATGACGGCAGAATACATGCACTTAATCACAGGCATTCAGCCTGAGACATGATTATAATTAAGATTTATGTTCAAAAGAAGATGTCTACTTCCTTCCTATTTTAGTTTAATTTATGGGTTGTACCTTGATGTAAATTATTTCGATTTTACCCTACGACAAATTCATCCATTTCCAGTTATGACGTCAATCCTTTAACTTTTCTCTCCGTGGAATTTTTAGTTCAGGTTTTAGCTATCCTACTGTCAGGTTTTTGCACGAGGGCCGGGGCACAGTGAAAAAGTTCTCACGCTGGCAGCTACGACTTGACAAGGGAAAGGATACAAATAAGCATGTCAACTCTTATATACTTAAAGACAGCAAATCCCACCTAATACAGAGCTGGGCACGGCAAAAATTGACAACAAATTTCTGGGCCTAGCCTACCCGTATTTGCAATTTCCAAAGAAGGCTACAATGCACGCTAATAATTTAACCTTCCCAATAGTACAAATCAAGAGGGCTAAAACGGGGATATTATTTCACCCGATCCCAAAAAGGGGTACATCACCGGCTGGAATGAAGGCGAGCGTCGACAACTTCTCCGGGACACGTTCGGTCACACTCCGGCAATACTTGGCTGCGGCGTTCGTTGCTTCTCGGTGAGCTTTGTCTGTCGGTGTTTTCAGAAGGGTATCGTGGTGTTATCTGAAGAGATGTCGTAATATACGCTGGAGGACTCCCCGGTGGCTCAATCCGTCGTAATCCGGCAATACTTGGATTTGGCGTTGATTTCCTTCGGCGTTGCGGTCTAACGCGGAGGGTTGCTGCTTGAACACTCGTAGAACTTTGCTTCGATGGAACTCACTCTGAGCGCGTATAACCAGGCTCGCGTTGTAGCTTTTGGCCGTTGATACTAGTTGTCCGTCTTGAATCGTCGTGGTTAACTTGCAGCACTATCTCTCGCACCCGCGGAGCTGTTTCCACAAATGCGTCTGGCTCTCGGCTAAGTCGTAGAACGCCGCCCAGTAGCTCTAACCGCCACTAACGCCGATACGGAACTGGCTCGCGGTGGCCCGCTCGCCCCTTAAATACTTCCCCGGTCTCGCGCATGCGCGCTAGACGGCTCGAGCTCCACACCCCTTAATTCAAAATTCGCTTCTAACCCCCAATCCCTATTCTTATCTTATTTATACTTTATTCCTATTCCTAATCATCGTCGGTTTTTTTAATAAATCTTTTAACGGTTATAGTTATACTCTCCTATACTAATCATATCCTCCTTTGCCCCCTAAAAAAAATCTAAGCTTCGATGTTTTTTTTCATTCTAGTACCCTCGATTACACAAATCAATTCTAAACACCCTCATAACGCGATCCAGTTGTATCGGTGTATATATTCCGACCTTCACCACTTTTACATTACCACTCCTACCCGGCTATCCCTCACTCTCATCTAAATAGTTCGCATTCCCTCATTTCCATCACCTGCAATTTCCCTCGACATGTGTTCCCGTCAACTCCCCTTTCGTTAATCTACTTAACCCATATCCTAAGAAGCATATCCTATTATACATGGCATTATAAAGAGAGATAGTATCCTATGATTAACACATACACCCTAGTCACCTATAGGCAACCTTAAGCACCTGAATTTTACCCCTCAACCCAGAGCAACCCAAAAAAAAAGATTTATAATAATTAATGTTAAACAAAAAAAAAATACAAAAGAAAATACACATTTACATCCTAGTAAACATTGCAGACAACCTAAATAAAATATGTCCATTTTTGCGCATATATAAAGAACAATCACAACGCAATTATAATTTCGACAAATAGAAAAAAAAATTGCAATCACAAACCACCGATAATTTTATGGACGTGACACTATACCGTGCAAAAAATAGTTTAGACGAATCACTAGAAATCACTTCACAAGTAAAAAAAATGCTGCCCGTCTGAACACCGTAAACTATGCAGTATCTCTACCAATTATCTCAATTAATTTAACACTTTGAACTTCTATGAGAACATCTTAGTATTACAGTATAACACCACATTGAATCAGACTCACTGCACTCACTATACGGCCATTAATTTTTTTTAGATACATCGCAAATGTAATGATTTTTTTGCCATCACTATAATGCCTGAGAAAGAACAAGTTCTTCTCAAACAAATTCTGGCATAGTATCGAGGAAGGCTAAATTTCACACAGTGGCTAAAATAAATTTTCGGCAAAACTAAGAATGTCAGCATTAAAAACGGAGTTTCTTCTATCAATCTTAATCTTTCACAATACTTCTTCAATTTAATCGCCCTCTATTTTGGGAATTCCTTGTTATGTTGTCACATCCTATAGGTATATCTATTGATACCCGCACTCGTTTGACCCATTCAGTTCCCTATTATTTATCGACACAATTTATACACAGTTAAATGCTCAGAAAAATCCTCCTTAATATCAATTAGTCGGTGGTCTAGCGCAATTTTTAGTGTCTGAATAAATGTGACAACTTCTACATTTACCTACAGTCACAATACTGGCATAAAATGTCTTACTAAACATCTCACAAAGATACGAAATCACGGAAAAACTATTCGTTAGAAATTATTTACAGCAAAAAAAAATAATGTTTCACAGAGTTGAGGTACGTCCGAGTAGGCAGGTCACTCTACTGACATGAACAATCAAATTCCAACTAAAGAAATGTTTTGTAAACTTTTGCTAAACTATTCCATCACTTTAATCGCGCGTCACTGAATTCTAGACAAATTTTAACGTGTATCCTTTGTGTTCACGTAGAAAAAAAAATAAAAAAAACGAATCTTCCCACTCAGAGAAGTTAGCTCAACTAAAAATTTAATTTTTCGTACACAAAAAAAATGAAAATCTATAACCACATTTGAAACAACTCTCTCTCCAACACCCCTAGTGTGACAATGATAGAAGAAGGAGAAAAAAAATCCCGCACTAACCATCCTACCACAAGGTTTTCTTCACATAAAAAGAAAGAATAATACTTAGCGTAAACATTTTAGAAATATTATCCAGGGTATTACGCTCCACTAACTATACTCGCTCACCATTGTTTCATGTTCATACACAATACACAACAAGTAATAAAAAGAAATGACGAAAAAAAAACATATCTAATTTATCACATTTTGAGACACGTACAACAAAAAAAACATGAGAATACACAAAAAAAATATTTCGAAATCCACCCTAATTGACATCCTAACGACACAGTATTGGTAATCGTCCATAAAGAAAAACTTTATATATCTTCCGTTGATAACTCCAAATTATTATCTTGTTCCTCTTGGTATCCTTTATCGCTTCCGAGGGTCCTAGAAGGAGAAAGAAAGAAGAGACAGAAAAGAAAGAAAAAATAATTGCCTCTTGTAGGCAGCCTAACGTAACAAGAGGGGTGAAAGAAGAAGAAAGAAAAAAAATGGAGCTCGTGCCTGCTGGTTCAGCGTGCCCCGGTCGTGAGTTTATGCTGCAGTGCGGCGGTCCGTGGCGAAAGTTCTCTTCCACCTCATCACACCGTCCGCGGTTTGTTGGGGGTACATGTGGAATAGGAGGGTTAAGCACACGTTTCCCTTACATTTTTTGCCACCCACAGGGATAGGACTCTTGAATTTTTTTTTTACCGCGAGATTTTACAGGAATTTCGGCTAGCACTAAATGAGACTCCGGGTCCCTTGGTACGAGGTCATGTTTTCTTTAACTCATCTTTGATTTTAACTGAGCACTGTGAATGCAACGGCGACTGGCCACATCAGGCCTACTCTTCAGCGCCGACATCACTTTGGTTTATGTAATTATGAAACGATCGAGTCCCATCCTGGGTCATGGCAGGCATACTGTTTTAACAAAAGAATCTATGATAGAGTATTATCCCTATTTCAGTGAACATACAACAAAAAAAATTCTTACATTCAGTTTATATTTGATATCGTCACACTTTAAACCCAAATACAAAGAAAAAGATCCTTATATATAGTTATTCACAACTTAGGTTATCTTACCATGACCCAGTGAGACGTTTTTCAACCACATGACTCCGTACCTTACAATTTCCTCTATGAGGGTGGGACCCGTCCTCTCCTTACCTTATGATGAGTTTAGGACGTCGTAGTCCAAGGTCACGCTGATGCGCCACCTTCGTCGTCCTCCGTCTCCGAATCGTCGTCGGATGTAACGTTGGACGTGTTCCGTCTATTTGCCCTCATTTGGGCCAGCTGATGCAAGAT